AGAATTGATGCGGTGGCAAAGGGCAAGGACATCTCCAATGTACGAAGTGTATGTCACCCCGGGATGTTGGGCACGCCATCGAGTTTTCGTTTTGACACTACGGAATGGATGTTCGGTTTCCCAAAAATCCTACGGACTTGTTGAGCAAAATTAGGCCAATCCGGGAAGCTGCTCTCGTGGTTAAAAAACCATGTTTTCGCGATATCGGACAGATAGAAGGCGACGTGACGAAGTTTTTGAGGCTCATCCCATTTGTTATAAACACTGGTCGTGTCGTATTCTTTTAGCCATACCTCGACGTCGTCGCGTGGAAGACCAGAGAAGATGGGTGGGTCGTGCTGCCGGGCGTTGAAGATCCACGCAGGAATGGTTTGTTGAACAGGGATGCTTGATGTTCCAGTTAGGGGTTCTTGAGCCGTGACAGCAGACGGGGGAAGCAAGCGGCGACCCGAACGAAGCTCCAGGGAAACCTGACGTCGGAGAGGACTTTGGGATCAAAGCAGCCTCCACCACTTTGTAAGGCAGTAGCAGCGTTGGGGTTGCGACGGCGTTTATTAGGCCGAATCACCTGATCAACGCTTCGAACAAAGACGACGTTTTTCATGATGATTATTATATACAGATGAACAAGATGAAGGTCGAACGCAGTGAATATTGTGCTCACAATATATATATTGTAACATTTAGGATGGGTTTATTCTGCTGTGACGTACCAGCAGACAGGAAGGTGTCACGCACCCGAGGCCTTTGTTTGTTTGTTTGTTTGTATCCTCTAATCCATGGCTCGTACCCACTCTGGGGGATCGGCCAAGAGAAGATATAGTCTCATATGGACGATAACTGCATTATTGCTTACGACGAAAAAAAGGGGGGGGGGGGGGGGAGTTGTATAGTGAAGACAGTATGTTAAAAAAAAGAAACCAAAGATTTAGATAGTGAGAAAAAAGAATCAACAACAAAGTAGACACTAATAGTTATAACTTGATTTCGGGAGCCGACCAGACAGCTGGTTTTGCCAAACCCGATTAATTTGGTATGTCACGGATTTATCCAGATTTGAAAATTACTTTTCGACCCGTTTTTTTTTTTTTTGAGTACCTGTTAACGTGGGCTTTATGTTGAAAAACGTTTAGAGTCGAATAAAATTACCCACCGCATCGAATGCATCTCTGTGGCAATTTCCCAAAACAGAGGCACCAAAATTTAGAACATTTTCTGTGGTTAAATATAAACCTAGCTTCGCAAATGGAATACCTAAATGTTGTTTCCTAATTAATGCATAGTTACGACATGAGCCAATATAATGTTCAATAGTTTCTGATTCTTCGCGAAACGGACAAAGGGGGGAAGGTGTCAGACCAGCTCTGTGTAAATAAAAATTTAATGTGGGGACACGGCGCCGGAATCTGGAGATTATAATTTCAAGTTTTTTCGATGGACTCCACTGGGCTTTCCATGGAAATTTGAGGTGCTGATAATCTGTCCATTGTGTGATATTTTCTAAACTATCTGTACTAGCTGGCCTGTCTTGCTGGTTGAACATCTTCTTCTCTCATCTCTCTGTTCCCCACTACCCAGAGGCTCATACCCAAATCACGTATGCAGTATGCGCAGACGAAGCTCTCCGAGCAAGTTAAAGGGTCTCTCTGGGAATACAGCGCTTCAAACGTGCTATATGGGCAAGTTCAGCCTTTGTAGAAAGTCGGCCATTTGAATGAAGGTCCATCTCAATTCAAAAAGTCCATACGGTGTAAAAATGTCGTTTGTTTGTCTTTCTTGTGCATTGGAATCTGCCAATACCCTGACCTCAAATCAACAGACGAAAAGTAGGAGGCTAATGAGAGACAGTCTATAGCATCATCAATGCATGGTAGTCGGTATACATCTTTTTTTGTGATGGCAATGAGACGGCAGTAGTCGACCCCAAATCATCATGTTCCGTCTTTTATCATCAAAATTATGCAAGCGACCCACGGACTACATGATTCTTGAATTACATTATTCTTTAGCATCTCGCAAACGTGTTCATTTATCACTGTGCATTCCGAACCTGATACCCGGTATAGTTTTTGTGGGAGATCTCTATAAATTGCCGTATCTATGCAGTGCATTATACGAGAGGCAGGAAATGACAGCGGGGCCTGTAGCTGTGCGAAATCGAAAATACCAGCATGTTTGCACAGAATACTCGCCAGGTCATTACACTCGCTGGTACTAAGAGACTTGTCGATCATTGCCATTATGGAGGTGTCCCTGGCGTGCAGATGATCGGAATTGGGCTTATCCGAAGAATCACTGACTCTGCAAGGATGGCAAGGAAGAACACCTGATGTTGACAAATCTTAGCAAGTTGTAGACCCTTTCACAGTACGGAAGGTTCATTGGAGCAGTTGATCACCCACAAACCAGTATGCCCTTGCACAACCGACAATCTACAGTAGGGTATTAGAACATTTTTTTTATGCAGCTGAGGTGAATGGGCTCTTCGGAGGCATCAAATGTCGTTTCGGTTGCAGGGGAACTGACGACAGAAACACACTTGGCTTGCAAGAGTAGTACAGTTGTGTTCATGGACACGTAAAGAGTGCTTTCCTGACAAAGCGGGTTTCCCATAAACACTACTGGAACATCTGAATCTACTGTAATTCCTCCTGTGCGGCAATCGACAGTGGCACCACAAATCTTCAGGAAATTGAGTCCTAGAATTACATCATGCGTAGAATGAAAGAGAAGAGCAGAATCAAAATAAATTTCTGGCACCCCAAACGAACAGCCACTGTGCAGATACCAACAGGTTGTAAGACATCTCCGCTCACTCCACGAAATGTATCAACACGGTCCCAACAGAACATAACTTTTTGTCCAAGGAGGCATATGAATGCTAGACTCGTCAGTGATATGGTTGCACCTGTGTCCACTAACGCCATTGTTGAGGCACCGTCAATTAGCACACGAACCTTTTTTTTTTACTTCTAAACATGCAAATTAAAGGAAGTATTTCTTTGGAAATTAAAGACTGTCCAGCCCAATCCACTTCCGACAGTCCACCGACTAGTTTTTCGGGGGAAGCGAAGGTTTGCGGTGCCGAGGAGACGGCGACCGATTGGAGCGAGGGGCTGGCGGGGGTGCCAGACTGCGGTAAAACGCCGGAGAACGGTTTCGCAGTGGCTTTGGTATCTCGTGAGATGCACTTCCAGGAAATGTTGGTGATCGTGCAAAGCCCGACAGGTGGGATCTCGGTGGGCGGTCGCACCTCGGCGGCTGCAGGTAGTTGCAGTACCTGGCAATGTGGCCTTCAACGCCACAGTTGTAGCAGACGGGTAGGGGTCCCTCGCCGAACCACTGCTGAGAGTGCTTCGTTGTGAAGGGTCGTTGAACGAAGTGAAGCGGCTTGCTGAACAGGAAATATCCACCTCTGTGGGCCGTGGGCGGAAAGAAGGGGTTGGTCATATCACTGGTCAGACGCGAATGAGTCTCGGCATGGCCACGAAGTTCTAGCTTCGCTGACGTCTGTCACGCATACTGATGGTGGAAGAGGAGCGAATGGCATAAGGTTGTAGGATGAGCAGGTAGGCGGATAATGGATGGTGTCGTCGAACAGTACGTCTTGTTGCTGTAGGCTCTTTACGCTCTATTGCCCGTATTGTAGCGGCAAGGTCGGCGGGCAGTCTCACGTCCACCGTTGTTACATTAGCCAGCCTACCAAATTTCGAGGCAATAAGACGGGTTTTCAGCTTCTTAAAAATTTGGCAGTGATGGTGGACGGTGGAGACAGAAGTGAGGTCTTCCCTGCCTGGAAAATTTGTGGACATCCTCTGCTATATCCTTCAGAAGGTGTCCGATCATGTTCTTTTCTGACATATACTGATCTATGATCTTGCAGAGCATCAGAACTTCCTTTTATAGGTGGTACACATTTCTTCAGGAGTCTGAGCTCTTTGAGTCAACGTGCGTTTCATGCTTTTCTTCTACGAATCAGAGTCGCTTGAGTTCTTCAGCAAAACAATCCCACGTTGGGTTAAGAAATCTTCATGGTTTTCGTACCATATCAGGGCGGTTTCCGTGAGAAACAGCGCAACATTTCCCAGTTGATCGGTGGGATCCCAGCAGTTGTACCGACTCACGCATCTTTAATGTGTCAGCCATGCATCCACATCTTTTCCTGCCCTTCCCGCGAACGGTTGGGGTTTTATGTAGTGATATCGAGGTGCAGCCGGCACTGACCTTTGCATGGTTGAGAAGCTGTGACCTTCGCTCTCGGCCATTACGGTTGTTGTCAGTAGCATACTGGCAAGATGACGGATCCGGTGAAGTTCGAACAGCTGTGGCTTCGTGGTTCGTCGACGTGCTGTACTCATCGCCTCCACCACTCTGTTATGTTTAGAATTGGATTTACTCCGCTGTGTCGTACCGTTAGACTTGAAGGTGTTGCGCACAGGAAGCCTTTCTCTTGTTCTTGTTCGCCTGTTGTCTGTGGCGCATATCCACTGTGGGGGATTGGCCAAGAATTGAGTGTCTTTATAAAATATTGTAGTGGATCATAGCAACGGGGTGATCGGCATGTGAGGGGTAGACCGGGAAAAGAGGACGACGAAGACAGTGTTGTGTTGGAAGCTCCTCGTGAGTTGCGGTGGCCCCGTTTGCCTGCTCTGAGGGTTTGGCCAAGAATTCAGTAGTTGTGATTGATTTTGTTTATTCTTTTTTTCATAAGCATTTATATAGTGTCCTAATTGATTAGCGAGTGTATTTTCATATACAGTCAAACCTCGTTATAAGGAAGTTGAAGGGGGAGTCGTAATTACTTCGTTATAACCATTAGTTCGTTATAGCCAATATCCATTTCTGCCGACAATTAGCCAGCAAGAGAGAATGTACTCACCACCGAATATCACAGCAGCCCGCCGCGCAGAGAAAAACGGCCGTCGGAAGGCAAAAAACTAGCAAAATAATAAAGAACAATGCACTTTATTTCCGCCAAGTTCAGCACACCAGCTGGCAGATCACTTCGAAGAAAAATAGTCCTTGATAGACTTTTGCCGACTCTTCTTCAAGCGGATGACTGCTCTTTCAGCGGCAGCCGCTATTTCAAGTCCGTCCTCACCGTCATCATGAGCACCAAAGAAGCGGCGCAGCAGGTCTGTCGCATCCAGCGCATGCGCGGGCGTCGGTACGTCGGGTTCGTTAGGCTCCGGGGTGTCAACACATTCGTCACTGTCATCATTATGCACCCCCGTCACCGCGCGCACAATTTCCGCATCTGACAACTCTTCGGTTGTCACCGCGTCAGCATCGGCACCGACGTACGTGCAGAAAGTGTCGCAGTCAGGCACAACGTTGGCGTCAAGGAGAGCGTCCCACGATGTCTGGGCCTGGTCGCCCGCGGCACCCTCACTGGCGACATCACCGAGATCTTCGCTGGGCTCTCCGCTGCTGACGCCAAATGAGGCATGCCGGAAGCAGTTGGCGATCGTGCTTGCCGTGACGGCAATCCAGGCAGCTTGTAACATCTCGATCGCCATGTACAGGTCGATCGTTGTCTCGCGCTTCATGCTCATATTGAGCAAAATGCGGTCGATGACACGCTTGCGGTAGCCCGACTTGAAGTTCATGATCACCCCTTGATCGAGGGGTTGCACAACCGCAGTAGTGTTAGCCGGCAAAAAGCACAGCTCAATGTTTTTTAACACAACGGTAGTGTGGTGGGCCGCGCAGTTATCCAGGACGAGGCATATCTTGCGGTTCTGCTTGCCCAGCCGCTCGTCCCACTCACGCAGCCATTGTGCAAAGATCTCTCTCGTCATCCAGGCCTTGTGGTTGGCCACATAACTCACTTGGAGTTTCCGCTTTCCTTTGAAGCATCGTGGTGATGCACTTTTGCCGATCACGAGGGCCGGCACCTTTTCGGACCCGTCCATATTCGCACAAAGTAGCACGGTCACACGGACCTTGCTCTGTTTACCGCCCTGGCAGCGGTCACCTTTGAGGGCCAAGGTTTTTTGCGGCAACATCTGATAGAACAGGGCAGTCTCATCTGCGTTGAACAAATCCCTGGGGCTGTATTTTTCGAGCAGCTGCCCAATGTTCTTCTTGATCCACGCCACTGCAGCTTCGCGGTCCACAGATAGCGATTCCCCGCTGACAGCCCTGCCGACGATGTCGTGGCGCTCCTTGAAGCGCTGCAGCCAGCCGTTACTCGCCACAAAATCATCGTGCCCCATGATGCACGCGAAGTTCCTTGCCTTCTGCTGCAGAAGTGCCCCGCTCACAGGAGTGCCGCTTGCTCTGATTTCTAAAAACCAGTTGAACACCGCCTTCTCGACAGCTTCGAAGGCGGGGGCTCGCAGCTTCATTCGGTCGCCTTTGACGCCACGTGCGACAGCGTCGGCAATAGCTTCTCTCTTGCTTAAGATCGTTGACAGCGTGCTCAACGATACGCCGAAATCTTCGGCCACTTTTTTTTTCTTGACGCCGGACTCAACGGCTCTCAACATTGCAGACTTCTGCTCAATTGTGATGATTTTGCACTTACGTTTGCCGTTGTCCATGTCTAGCGGCGGAGGGGTGTTGCTCTTCCACAGCGAACGACAAGGAACCAAGCACAAAGCCAACAAAGCCGCAATCTCCGCCGACCCAGCGTGGAGCTGAGGGAAGGAGGAGGTCAGATGCGCGGGCGGGTCAACGAGTTCCACAGGAGAGGGGAGGTCGGCTGACGCGCACGCTCACGCGAGTTGCTGCGCGGGCGAGTCCATTAGTTCCTGAGGAAAGGGGAGGCAGGGCGACGTGCACCCACGCGCGTGTTGGCAGGCGGCGCAAGGCGCGAGTTTTGAATTACCGCTGCCGTGATGGGACGTGAACCGGCGCGCGCTATAAGATATTGAATTCACGTATACCAAAATGATCAGTAAATGCTCGTTGTGGTCAAAGAATGGTTCGTTATATCCATTGTGAGGAAATTTTCGCTTCGTTAAAACGACGTTTTAAATACATGGGCGTCTATGGGAATTTCAAGGGGAATTACAATTGCTTCGTTATATCCATTAGTTCGTTATATCCCGCTTCGTTATAACGACATTCTACTGTAGTACGACCAGGCAGATGCCGTTTTCCTCACCTGGACCAGGGGCTTTCCTCTGGTCTGCTTCTTTTCCTTCGCAGGAATTGCCAGTGGCCTTGTTCTTACGCAATGGTATCTCATCCGTTCCTGTGGCATTGGTCCCAAGCAACGATGGTATTATACGGATGAAGAATCCAAAAAAGATTCAGACGGAGTTGAGAGCCGCTACAACTCACTACCAAAGCATCACAGAGGTCAGGCAGTTCGTCAAGGGTGGCATTCTTTGCTTCTCGTCTGACCAGCTCTTTGTTTGAGACCTACTTAAATGCTCGGTATTCGCTACCAACCCGGTGAGCGCATTCATTCCACCTCACCTAGCTTGCGTCAAAGGCCTCGTTCGGGGTGTCGATGTCAACTTGACCCCAACTGAGATATTAGATATGTTTTCAGAAGCAGGTGTGATAGCTATCTATAGATGTAGTCGAGTTGTGGACAAGAACAAGGTCCCAACGGAGTCCGTGATCGCTACATTTGCCGGGTCGAATCGCCCAACCGAAATCAAAGTGTGGCCTTTAATATACAGAGTGGAGCCACTATCACCTCGTCCCCTACAGTGTATTGAGTGTTGGCGTTATGGGCATACAGTGAAAGGGTGCAGGTCAGAACCTAGATGCAGAATTCGTGGTGAGACGCACAACTCAAACGACTGTAACAGTAATGAAGAAAAGTGCTGTCTTTGCCATGAAGCACACTGCGCTGATAACACAAACTGCTCAGCCAAGGCACGTGAAATCCAAATCCTTGAAATCGTAGACAGAAGGCGATGCTCCCGAAAAGATGCCATTGCTGAAATCCAAGCCCAAACTCAAGGGTATGCAGGAGCAGCTGCCCGCCATAACATAGCAATGGAAGCATCCTTTTCCCTATCAATTGCGGACATGATCGAGAATGCTGTGGATAAGGCTATGCAACGCCTTGCTACCACCCTATGTGAGTCGCTGTCGCACATTGTGAATAACCAAATCGCGCAAGTCTATGGAGCACAGATAGATATAAGTACGGCTGTAAAAAATGCTGAGTCTGCACACCCGACAAGTGAGGCAGAATCTGAGATCTCTACCGGATGCACAGTCTGCAGAGCCCTCTGGAGAAGGCGTTCAGAGGCAAAGCGAGGGTGTACAGGAAGCTTCTCAGGACACACAAGATATGGACATAGATCTCAAATCCCTAAAGCGTTCTAGATCCCCTGTATCGAAAAAACCTGGCTCGCCAAAACATGCAAAAAGCAAGAAATACCAGAAAGACAACCTTTCAAAAACCGATTTTCTAAAAGAAAGTATTTTAGATAAGGTGATTGCCGAAACCATTTTAACGAAATCATAGGGACTCTTAAAATTATACATTGGAATTGCCGATCTCTTCACTCAGCCATAACAGATCTGTTATACCTGTCTTCCTAATTCGATCCGGCTATTATTGCATTACAAGAAACTTGGCTATCCTCACATCATGTATTTCACCTACCCAACTTCCAAACCTTTCGTCTAGACTGTCCATCCAAAGGTGGAGGTTTAGCTTTCTTTATAAACAATAAAATTAGTTTAAAAGTAAAAAACTTATACAAATGTATGTCTTCTGAATGCGAAATTTTCGCGTTAGATATTACTTTGCCAGGATACTTGCCTTTCTCGCTAATAAACGTCTACTTTCCTGTAGGCGTTCAAGACACGAGATTGTTAGATATGGCTGCTAATTCAGGCTGTAAAGAAAAAATTATAGTTGGCGACTTCAACTCTCACCATACCTGCTGGGGTTTTAGAACAGATCAGTGTGGACAACGGTTGTGGGACTGGTCGGTAGACAACAACTTATTGTGCCTTAACGCTAGAACTCCCACATTTATTCGAGGTCAGTCACGCTCCGCCTTAGATTTAAGCTTTGTAAGCTCGGCCATTGCCAGTACATCGTGGACTGCCCTTGACTGAGCCCCCAACAGTGACCACTTTCCAATAATGTTCGAGATCGCTTGCCCCGTCAAACCATCATGCTTCCATGTCCGAACCTATATAAATTATGCAAAATTTCAACACGACCTAAAAACTGCTTTAGACGCTCCTTCTCAGGATGGAGATGACACTAAAGCTATGAAAATAAGCGCAGTAATCAAAAGGGCATACAAAAACGCTGAATTTGCTGTTAAATCGGCGAAGAGAGTACCCTATAGCCCCTGGTGGAATTCCAACTGTTCACGAGATCACAGACGAAGACAGGCAGCTTGGAAGAAGCTAATACATAATCAATCCCCTAAGAACTTTTCTTGCCGCTGTATTTAAACACATGGTGGCCCAAGCTAAAGAAGAATATGATAAAAGACATTTCAATTTTCTCTCGAAATCCAAAAATAAGAAAGCTTTATTTCAATACATGCGATCTCGCAAAATCCTGCCGTCTACATTGAATACTGATTATGAAAAACTGTCATTGGAAGAAACGAAGAACTCTTTAGAGTCAATTGGCAGAGGTCTAGAAATTAGATTTTCTTCGATTATGCCTTTCAACTGGCAAAAGTCTAGCATAAGCACTGACTTCGAAAACGTAACCGTATGACTGGAAATAGCTAAGGTAATCCCATTAATAAAAAAGCAAGGATTAGGTTTTACCATAGAAAATATCAGACCCATCTCGCTAACTTCGAACATGGTGAAACTCATAGAGAGGGTTCTAAATGGCCGAATAAACTCCTGGATGATGAATAAGGTCATATTGAAGCCAAATCAAATTGGTTTTCATTGTGAATGCTCAATTTGGTGCGCCCATGCGGATTTAGAGAGTCGAATACAGCTTGCTTGTAAAAGGAAACAGTACGCCGCATTAGTAACTCTCGACATAGCTAAAGCGTATGATAGTGTCGAGCACTCTATTCTACTGACCACCTTGCAGAGTCTAAAGTTTCCTCAGTATATTACTGAGTGGATGTATTGCGTGAAGGATGCTTGTTGTTCGCATAAATTCATAATAGAAACGTGGTGTTCCCCAAGGGTCCGTTCTATCTCCAGCATTATTCAATATACTGATGAGCTCTATTCCAATTGTTCAGGATGTCAGCGTCTACATTTATGCAGATGATATCGCGTTCTTCGCTGCAGAGAGCGTCATTTACTCACTACATCAAAAACTGCAAAGATTATATTAATACACTAGAAATTTGGTGCAATCCATTTCTTGTCATTGAAACATCAGTAAAAGTGCGCTCTTGGTGTTTCCTATAGCAGATACAGTTTCAATTTTTGTATTGTATAATCGGGGACCTATTCCACAAGTTGATTCAGTCAAGTACTTAGAAATGATTTATAATGAAAAGCTAAATTGGAGCCCACACATTGAATATATAACAGCAAAGGCACAACGGGCGTTAGGTTTATTACGCAGGTTAAGCAACAGAAAATACAGGCTGCGCAGACACACAATGTTAATGATATATAAAATGTATGTGCGACCAATATTGGAATTTGGGTGTGTATTATTCTCGGGGGCCGCTGGTTATAAAATTAAACCGCTAGTAATGTTAGAGCGAGAAACTCTGCTGCGAATATGCCTGGGACTTCCCAGGTTCGTGGCGAATAATATATTGTATCAAGAAGCGCGATTGCCAACACTCCTCTGTCGATTCCGCATTCTAACGGTTCAAACCTTCTTAAAGTTCTACAGTTTACCGGCGCGAAGATCAGAGTACGCATTTATCAGCGACCCCGATTCTTTCTTTCTTGCACATTGGCCTCGATTTCATACCCCTCAGATAATTTCTGTTAAAAAGAAACTGGACTGCATAAATGTAGACATTAGCACAGTAATTGAAACTAATTCCTCAACCATCAACATTAGAATAGAGTACGATGAAATCTTCCCCCCACAAGCCAAGTTGCAATCTCTTAGATTTTTGACCACTACATTAAACGATTACTTGGTACATGCAGAAACAAAAAATGTAATAGCTACAGATGCTTCTGTCAACAATGAAAAGGCAGGCATAGGAATTGCGTCTGATTTCCTCGGCTGGTCTTTTTCAGGAAGGCTTCCAGATTTCACTCCTATATTTGAAGCCGAGCTAGTAGCTATTATTTTAGCTATTCGTAAAATTCCTACGACCGAGACCAGTGCAATCATCCTAACAGACTCACTTTCGGTGTGTGCAGCTCTGACAACCTCTGAACAATCTCGTGCCCTAGCAGTGTTCCACACATTAGCACCGCCGCATTTAAAACTCCTCAAATTAGTGTGGGTCTCAGGTCACTGCGGATTACAATTAAATGAATTGGCAGATGCTTTGGCACGAGCATCACTCGATGGACCAGTAATTTCAGTACTTCCCGAGGTAGAACACTTATCAGGGGTTAGATATAGGAAATTCGCTATTTTCACAGATAGTTTAGAAAATATCACACAATGTACCGATTATCAGCACCTCAAATTTCCATGGAAAGCCCAGTGGAG